GGGGCGGGTTAGTGTTTTTTTTATTTTTTTGTATTTTGTATAACTATTAGAATTTATATTAATATAAAGTAAAAATATAAAGAATACAATGAAGATGAAAAAAAAATGCACTTATAAATTGCAAGTGCTACATTTATTTCAAAATTCAAACTTACAAATTGAAAGGTTTACATTTAACAACAAGTAAATTAACGAAAAAAGAGTAAATTCAAAGGTTTTGCATTGCCTTAGACTCTAAAACCTTGGAAAAAAAATGGAATCTAGCCTTTAAACCGATGCGGGCCGGGCCGGTTAACCTGTTTTACAGGAATTTTGGTTGACGGGGTTTGACCGATCCGATTAACCGGATGAATTAAAGTGAACGGATCAACCCCCTAACCCCAGTAATCCAGCCCATTCGCCCCCCCTAAGTACCGGGCCGGGCTGGTCCGGGTTTCAACCAGTATGGGCCGGGCCGGCTCAACCCGGCCCGTTTGACACCTCTAGATAGAATGGAAGTAGTAATATTTTTCTTTCTTTTTTCTTTTTGTAGACTATGAACATAGTATAAAGTTTTTTAAATAAAAACTAGTGCGTTGAATCTTCAACTGCGAAAACCTATAAAATGCTGTATTTTTCTTGAGATGAAAGAGAGTAGGATTATATAAGTCAACATCACCAGTCATATAATTGTCAAGAGACCAATGGTAAGACGCCATGTGGCATGGCATTAAGGCGCCACCATTGCTTGGGAAGAGAAGAGCGGGAAATTAGGCAGGCTCGAGAGCACGTGATTATTTTTTATTTTTTATTTTTAATATAGAGGGAATCTCTCTGCTATGTTTAATTTGAAGAAAATAAAATAAGGTACTAAAATACAAATAGTAGTAGTAATAGGTTTTGGCTCCAAGGGGTCGTTTGGTAGGGTGCATAAGAATAATGCTGAATATGGTGTATTAGTAATATTGGTATTAGTTATGCTTGCATTAGTTATGCTGGTATTAGTTATGCTGACATATTTCTTATTCATTGTTTGGTTTGATATATTAAAGCATTGTGCAATTTCTAAAAGAATTGTTTGTTTACAAAGCCCTCAAAACCAATCCATCACAACTTTCTAAATGAAACATATGTTGAGAAATATTTTTATTGCAAAAAGTTTTAAAAAAATTATTTAATTTGTCTACCTATATGTAAAATAAAATTAAATATTTATTTATAAAAAAAGAAATATGCTAAGTATTTATTTATTTACTAGAGCTATAATTTTATTTCTCACTATTTGGATTATTTTAAACTTCCATCAATATAATAACTAGCATATTGTAATCAAACATAAATGTTGAAGGACAATTTTGTCTTTAACTAAGCTAACACATGCATTAAAACTCATTGCATTGCTAATACCATTATTTTCTATGCATTAGTTATGCATAGGATAATACCAAATAGGATGTATAACTAATACTTGCATAACTAATGCATAGGTTCAAAATGTCTACCAAACAATGTATTATTAATACACAAAGCTAATACATGCATTGTTTTATCTAATGCATCCTACCAAACGACCTCTAAAGGTCCACGAAGATGTTGACTTTTCTTGGGGAAGTGCACAATTCTTATGGCAGTTATTTAGGAATTAATTAATACTTATTTTATAAAATAAAAAAATTAAAAATTTTAAGTTCAAAATAATTCAGGATGCGTTCCAAAAAATTAAATTGAAAAATTAAAATTTAGAATGTATTGACTAATTTCTAAATAACAACATTTTAAATTGGCTATTTGGTGTCACTTCTATACCTTTTTTTTTTTTTTTTTTTGCGCAAGAGTTCAGTGATCCAATGAATCTTGAAGATTAAAGCACTTGGGAATTGGGATAGACGGGCCAGATTAACTAAGGATATTTTTTCGGAATTTTTAATTCTTATATCAAAGATTGATACCTTATTTATTTTAAATAAATACCCTTTGAAAAAATTATATTTCATAGCTATATTTTGATTTTTATAGCCAAATATCTATTTATGGTCACCTCCTATCCCTAAGCCATAAAATACACTTGTATTATTTTTCTCTCTCATTCTTTCAGATTTTTCTCCACACACACTCTCTCTCAACTCCAGTCTTTCTCCATGAAATTTCTCTTGTTTTAACGAATCAGATCCCATGGCCTACTTCGGATACCAACTTCAGATCTCATGCTCGGCGTTGATAAATTAGTCTCACCGTCGGATTTATGGTCTAGTTCTCGTGTTAATTGGAAGATTCTAGCAGCACATGCCGTCGGCATCCGGATTCTCCGACCACAGCCTTCAACTTTCATGTGCCGGTCTTTTGAGGATCTTGTGTGAATCAAATTAGAGACGCTTATATCACATGGAAGGCATAGACCATTTTACTCAAAGATTTTTCAAGTTCCAAGAATTTTCTGTCATAACTTTCGTGTGCCCATCCTTCAAATCGTTTTTCTCCGGCTCTTCCTTTAACAAAGGCACAATTTCTGTTGACGGCGACCATGGCTTCTTGTTGCTGTTAGAAGGGAAACGAGTCGTGGCTTCCTGTTGTTGCTGCTGCTTCTGACGTTATTCTTGCATCTGCTGCAATAGGAGTAGCTGAAAATTAGGGTTTGTTCTTGAACAAAGACGACGGATTTTGGGGCTGAGCAACTTGATTTTCTGTTAATATATTTTAATGTATTTTCAACTTATGTATCTTCATGTATTTCATTGTATTCGTTGTCTTTTTTTCATTGTAATTCAATGTATCTCGTTGTATTCCATGTATTTCATTGTATTTACTGGTTTTTTTCTCTCATTGTATTTCAATGTATTCCGTTGTATTTTAGGTATTTCACTGTATTCACTGTCTCGCTATATGCCAGGAATGTATTCATATGTTTTTTTAATTAATATAATTTATGTATTATATAATTTCTCTGAAGATTGCTATGTTTTTTGGGTATTTTCGGTTGAGAATCTTATTTATAACTGAAAATACAAAATTTGTGTGTTATAATTGAGTTTGTTGAGTTATATTAGATGTCTACTATGTTAATTGATTCACTTTCCATTTTAAAAATAATGTAATCTCTTATTTCACGCCGTGAATACAGTCAAATACAATAATCTGTCCAGATGTAATCCCATGTTTCACGCCGTGAATACAGTCAAATACAATAATCTGTCCAGATGTAATCACATGTTTCACTCCATGAATACAGTCGAATACACTCGAATACAACAACTGATTAGCTGGACTTCCCTTATTCACTCCTATTTTTGCTATTGTATTCATGAATACAATAGCTTAAGTACATCAAATACATCTTATAACCACAAAAAAGGTATCTATAATCCGTAATATAGTAAATGGTATCTATAGATGGCTAATTACTACTAAAAGATAGTGCTTTATGAAAATTTCTCTATTTTTTCTCTATTACTTTGGTGGTAAGAAAATGAGCTCAAAAAGATACTCCCTCCGGTCCACAATAATTGACCAATTTACTTTTTTTATTTTGGTCCAAAATAACTGTCCATTTATATAATCAAGAAAAAAATTCAATTTGTTTTTCAAAAAACTCTTATGTACGTATCCTTAAAAAGTCATTTACTCCTCACATTTGAGAAGAGAAATAAGTGCTACTATAACTATGGTGCAACATTTAATGAAGGCTAGTTTAGTCACACTAACTATTTTCGTCTAAAATTTAGTATTTTCTTAATAGATGTGTCCAAAACAAATTAGTTAATTATCGTGGACTAGAGGGAGTAGTGGAAATTGACCACGTACATATCGTGCGAGAAACTTTTACTGGTATCACTAGACTATAAATCTTGACAGTTATTAACTAGAGATTAGAGATTCAAATGACAGCAAAGAGGGTGTTTTTTTTTTCCTCCTTTTAATTTTTTTTAATAATCGGCATAAAAAGTAAAAGGAGGAAAGACAAAATGAGGATAATGAGATTGGAACTATGTACCTAGATTTGGAGGACGGTTAGTAATTCTCCGAAGAGTACGGTGTGATGGATAAAATTCTACCATACTTAATCAGATGTTAATCAGATATTTCGGTTTGAGTCTTAAGAATGGATAAACAAAATAAATCGGTATAGTAAATTTTCAATACCAAATGATTAAACTAAAAAAATATATATCGTCTAATACATTTGGGATCATTTTTAGTGTAATCTCAAACATAAAGGATTATTTTAAGCTTTTCTCTTTTTCAGAATTGGGTTCGTATGTCTTTTGAGATGAAAAATTGTTTTACCTACCAAAGAAATTGGAAGAAAGAGACACAAACCGAAAATGGGAAATTAGAATGTAACCATGGAATAAGTGCCCGTTTGGCCATTATAAAAATTTACTTTTCGGAATCAGTGTTTGGCCATAGAAATTTTTGAAAATTTGAAAAACTCCAAAAAGCTATTTGTCAAAATTTTCACTTCAAATCACTCACAAAAATTTAAAAACAGCTTCATCTTGTATTCATGTCCAAACACAACTCTAATTTTCAAATACCATTTTTATTTAAAAAAAAAAAATCACTGTTTTCTGGAATTTCACAGTTCTTGTGTCCAAACGCCCACTAAATAAGTTATCTCGAGTTATTGTAAATCACCAGCTTTGTTCCAGTTCCACCAAAAGTTTCTGATAACATATGTCACAATGACTAAAGGAAGAGAAAGTGTTTTTGGTTGAAACAAGATCACTTCCACTTCTCAAATTTTGAAGGGTTAATTGGCAATTGAAAAATAAAATAGTCCTGGGCACAATGAGAGCAAAATCTTGAGGTACTGACAACATTGAGGACTACTTAATAACTATATACTTAGCAGAGGTCTCGGGTTCGAGCCCTGGGTATGGAGTCACCTTTGTTAGGAAGCATTTTACCCCTAATATGGGACTTCCCGACACGAATCCGGATTTAGTCGGGCCCCAATGCAGGTACCAGACACCGGATGGGGAACCAAAAAAAAATAAAAAAAATTAATAACTATATACCTGGGATGAAACAGATGGGATCCAATTCTTCATTTAAGTAGATTGTAGCACAATACAAGAAGTCTCCTTCAGTACAAAAAACAATACAAATAATATAGACTTGCCGCTTACGTATATGGCTCAGTTTCTTAATTGTTATTCCAACAGAGGAAGCCACAATTGTTACAACTTACAAAACTTTGAGAATCCCCTACAACAAAATATATGAAGTGCTGCAACATTACAAAGTTTGCAGCAAAGATGATACTTGAATATCACATGGCCAACGAGAATCTCTATCACTCTGAGAGGAATTACTTCTACCAATGTGAGGATAGCTCAGTCACAAAATTTTGGGGGAAAATGGAAGTAAATTAAGAACAAAATTATACACCCGGGTGCTCAAGTAAACTTAATTGAGAAACCATAATCAGTGGTTGATACTTTCACTGGGCCAAAATCATCAAAGTCTGAGTCAGAGTTAAAATCCCTATAATCACCTAATTCATCAGGTGAATCTTCATCTGCGCCACTATGTTTGGAGGGAATCCTCAGTTCAGACGATGGGACAGGCAAAGGATCTTCATTCAGATACTTGTCATGTAGTAATTCCATTGCCGTAGCTCTACCAGCCGGGTCAAAACATAGCAACTTTTTTACGAGCAGAATTTCGTCAGTTGACCTGTTGGATAGACATGCTTCTAAGCCAATTGGATTATCCACTTTACCAAATGAAATTATTTTGTAATCAGGAAGATTTGCGCAACCAGGCCAAACTTCTTCAGATAAGTTTCCAAGAACGCTAAATATTCTGCCGAGTTGATCAATGTCTGAACTTCCAGGAAAAAGTGGTTCCAGACGCAAAACCTCCGCAAAAATACAACCTAGTGACCACAAATCAATCTCTGGTCCATAATTTGTGGATCCGTAAAGTAGCTCAGGTGCCTTATACCAACGAGTTCCGACGCAGGAGGTAAGGGGAGGAAAACAATCATGTTCATCATCTTCAACATCGTAGGAATATGTGCCTGGTAAGAGATCTTCCTCAACATTACTCATGGTGCCTGTAGCTAGACAGGAAGTGTCTCCATCTTGAATATTACTATCTTTATCAATGTCATCCAAGAACCTGGATCTCAGCTCATCCGACTCTCCAAGGCGTTCAGGTTGAACAACAGACCCTGGCTCTTCAATAAATAGACCTCCTTCAGAAGACACATCTGATATGTGCTTGAAATGTGATGGACCAGCCACAGTTGCCTGATCGGGATTGCTCTGTACGTATGGCTGTTGATTGTCATTAGCAGCTACAAACCCGGGGGCCAGTAGTATCCTAGCCTGTGTGGAACAAGAAGAGGCAAAGTCATGTATTGAGAAGGAAAAGAACATTAATCAGAAGTAGACTTGAATAGAGTTCAGGTATCCAAGGATGTTCCATCACACGAACAAAAGCACTATGGATATCCTGAAGAAGACTCTGTGCTTAACAAAGGTTATGTATATAGAACAGAGGGGATCTAACGCGACTACTGTGGGTTCAATTAACTATTTCTTTTGCCTCGACCTATACACATGCAAACAGCAACAACTACTACGAGCAGTCCAAACAAGCTGAGTTCTGCTATATGAATTCTCAATGACCATGTTTCTCCATTTAAACTCATCTCAAGCCAAAGTTATACCAATAAGTTCTCTATATTTCTACTAACATATAAATCTCTGACATGGCTAAAAGACTCCTAGAAAGCATAAGAAATAAAAAAACGTACTAATATGACTAAAACATATACCCAACTAATAGGTATCACTTCTACAGATTATTTTCTTTCATTATATCCTATCTTGCGCTAAGTCTGCATGAATTCCGCAATATTTAAAAAAAATATCAAAATGTATAAATAAATATATAATAAAATCACACTCATTAGTCGGAAACATCCTCTCTACCTCCACAAGGTAGGGATAATGTCTACGTACATCTATTACACTGGGTTTATTGTTGTTGTTGTTGTACACTCATTCTAAACTCACTCACTCTATATCCTGGGATTTGCCTTCGTATAGAGCTACTAACTCGAACAGGGAGCTTAGTGAATGGATACCTCAGAGGATAATATCTTCTAGAGTTCTAGTATAAGATCCTTGCAAAAAGCAATGTTGCGTGAACTCTCCAAAATGCTACTGCACTATGTCGGATCCTTCAAAAATGCACTACTTTTGGACGATATTTTCGGAGACTCCGAGCAACATAGGTATAAAGTGGTCTTTAAATGAGTTCTAATCGCCCAGCCGACTGCACCTGTTGCTAAGCTGTAATTCTCTTATGAATTGCAATCAAAATTCTACTAGTAATAACTAATAAACGATGAAAATTTGACGAGGAACACATATTAAAGTTCACAACTTGACGAGTTCTGTATATGTGGTGAAAGACTATTTTGTAAGCTCAAATGAATCAGAAATATCGAATCGAAATCGAAAATTTTGATATCTCGAAAAAAGCAGAAAAACTGAGAACCTGGCCAAAATCAGCTAACTTGAGGACTCCATTATCAGAAATCAACAAATTTTCAGGCTTCAAATCTCTATGTACAATCGAATTCCTATGACAGGCATCAACTCCACATAAGATCTGGACCATCCACTTTTTAATCTCCCCAAGGCCCAATCCATTTTCCCAATTCTTCGCTTCTTTTATAAGAGAGCTCAAATCCGTAGGCAAATATTCCAATACGAGTACAGCATCTTCATCTTCTCTCCAAAAATACTCGTATAAAACGACAACGTTTGGACAGTGCTGAAGGATTTGTAAGGCTTCGATTTCTCGACAAGCTGATTGGTAATCGTGGATTTCTTTGAGGGCGACGATAACGGAGTCGGATCTCCGGCGAGCTTTGTAGACGTCGGAATATGCGCCGGCGCCGATTCGGTTGAAGATTTCGTATTTAGTTGTGATTTCTTTTCGGGTATGGATGCTCCAGCTCTTTTCGTGTGGAGGGTCCATTGTTATGGTATTTTCTTTTTTTCTTTCTTTTTGGTTTGTTTTGAAGAAGAAGAAGAAGCAAATTGGCTATGTCACGTGAGCTGGAGATATTGCACGTGCATCGAAGTTAGACGAAACATAAATTTTAAAAAATCCAACTTTGACTTTTCTTTTTCCACTATAAAATTATTCAACTTTGATTGCTCATAGCACAATTAGGTTAGGCCATCTCTAACCCTCCCCTATTTCTCCGTATTACGGCCAACTTTTGTCATAACGAAGCTCCAACTTTTCTTTATTTTTACCTCCGAAATAGAGGATTAATAATGTTCCTTCAAAATAGTGATACTATTCATCTCTCCCATTACTATTCATGTATATTTTATTATATTTTTATTATTTAACTCTTTTAATTTATCTCTTTATATATACCTAACTGTGTTTATGTAATATCTTTATAATATTAATTTTATATTTTAACTTTGACGTATAATTTTGATAAATTAATTTTCGTGCATTTATTATTTTTATGTAAAATTGTAAGTTAATTTTATTATAAGTTATAATTGTACAAAGAATATATAATCATCTAATAAAATGAATGGTGCAAATATAAAATATTAGATGTTGTTAAAATTGAAAGGTGTGAATATAAAATATTAGATGTTGCTAAAATTGAAAAGTAAAAATTAAAAATACATTAAATGAAAATATATCATGTATAATATTTGCTTACAAATTATATTATTTAAAAATTTATGGTATAAAATAATTTTATATTAAATTATATGTGATGACTATATAAAAAAGAAAAAAAGATAGATTTCTTGAATAGAAATAAGGGAATAAAATTTAAATAAAGATAATAATATAATATTGAAGAGAGAGAAGAATATAAAATGAAATATTCTTTTTTGGATGAGAAAATGGAGGTAAGGGTTGGAGATGGCCTTAGGTAATGTCAATTAAATGCTTCTAATTGGAGTCGCTCGTAATAGACTAAGCATAAATATGGAAAATTATTATAATTATAATAATAATAATTATTATTATTCTTATTAAACTTCAGAAAATTACAGCCAACAAGAAAATTTGAGCAACCTCACAATATACCTCATCCTGGTCATAATGGTCGGAGAAGGTACTGTTATTTAAAAATATATTTTATTTATTTATTTCAAGTCTGCAATTAGCGCAAAATCCTTAAATGAAGACAAAATCTAGCTAGCGTTTAGACATAGATTTGGTTAAAACTTGAAAAAATGAGTTTTTAAAAATAAGATAAAAAATGATTTTGAAAGATGAAATTGTGTTTGGACATACATTTTACTTGAAAAGAATTTAAAGTTTTGTAAGTAGAAAACTTCAAAGACTTCAAAAACTATTCTAGAGCAGTTTTTGGGATTTGAAGATTTTATTTTCAAAATCTTTCAAAAATAATTAAAATATATAAACAAACAGATATTTAAAAATAAAATTTGAAAAAAAAACTCCTAAATTTTATCGCCAAACAGGACCCTAGATAGTAGCGTGAAACAATGTTGAATTGTGTGAATGGCCTTGTTTAACGTTAAAGTAATTAGAAAAGGAACACTAATATATGCTCATTTTAGCTCTACAATAAATAGTGATGGACGTAGGGTAGCGATAAGTCGAGTTTATCTAAACCCAATTTTTTAATGTGAAATATAAATTTATTTGTAAAAGTTCACTAAAATTGTCATAAATAGTAGGTCTGCACCCATATGTTGCACCCATAAATTTACAAATACAATGAGTTTAATTCTAAAAACTTTAAAGATTGAACTCATAAATTTTAAATTTTGGACCCGTCTCTGACAATAATGAGGGAGAAGAAAATGATTATCCAAGGTGCTATTGCTTGTTCCACTTTGGCGTTTAGTTTCTTTTCATTCTTCTATTCAAACTGTTAGGCTATTAAAATCTGAGAATCAGAGCCTATTATTGGATAAAAGTGAGATACTTATTAGATATTGAACAATTAAGTAGAAGATAGGAATCAACATATGGTGGAGATTTTCAAATTGTGAATACATAGAGATCGAGACTTGGAGAGGTAGCCTACAGGCTAAGGGTGTATTGTGGGTCGGGCCCAGTCCGGGACCGCATGCAAACAGGTCAAACGGACCGGTTCAAACGGGCCGGTCTCTAGCGGTCCAAAAGGCCCACAGTGGGCCGGTCCTCACCAAAAAGCCCGCGAGCCCGGTACCGACGCCTGTCGGTTCCGGGCTCGCGGGCTTAGGCCAACGGTCAGAATTTTAAAATGTAGCCGTTGGCCTGTATTTTTAGCCGTTTGACACTTTCAAAAATAGCCATTTGGCCCCCAAACTTTGTTTTAACCCAAACTTTTTATAATTATATTTTTTTTCCTATTCTCAACTATAAATACCCCCTCATGCTTTCATTTTTACTCACAAATTCATCAACCTCTCTCTAATTTTCTTCTATAATTGCTTACTTTATTATTGCAATTTCGTGAAAAATTGTGAAGTTGGTGAATTGAAGTATTCAAGTCTTCAACGATATTCAATTTTCAAGAAGTTGTTCGTCAATTCGGTAAACTCGTTCCAACTCTTAAGTTTTAATATTATAGTTTTGTTTGTTTTAGTTAGTATAATTATAGTTAATATGGACTTTTCTTTGAAAAAAATATTTGGTGGTAAGGGTAAGGGAAAATCTAAAATTGGTGAATGTAGTCGCCAAGCTACTACTCTTCCCTCGGCTCCCCGACCCAGACCTGTTACCCGTCCTCCTCCACTTGTTATTCTTGATAGTGATAACCCTTGCTTTCAATTTTCGATAGTCAATTTTGCCATGTTGTTGCACCAGGTCAACAATTAAATGAAGAAGTTATGAATGCTCTTTATCCTAATCAAACTATCTTTGAAAATGATGAGGAAAATGATGATTTAGATGAAATGCAACCGGATTTAGATGATACACCTACTAGTCCTGTTAATAACCCAACTGATGCGCCGCCTGACCCTCATGTAGTAACCCCTATTTTTAATAGACAACCTTCTAAACGGCCCGAAACATCTCTTGTTTGGCACTTTTTTACTCAACTAAGAGAACAAAATAAGGCTAAGTGTAAAATTTGTGGGTCTTTGATGGCTCATAAATATACTGGAGACCATAGCGGTACGGGTACTTTGACTAGACACATAAAGAAATACCCTAGAGATAAAGCTAGATATTTACAAATGAAAGTTGCGCAAGAGGGGACGAGTGTAGATACTACGGTTAACCCTAGTACATGGTCAAAGCTAGTTCAACCGGGAATTAACACTGTTACTGGTGACATTTTATATTATAATCCAAATAAAGATCGTGAAGAATTGGCAAAAATGGTTACTGTTATGTGTTTACCCTATAGTTTTCCTTCTAACCCTCATTTTGTGCATTATATTAGAAGAGTTTTTAATCTTACTTATAAAGGATGACCTCACGCAACTGTAAAGAGCGATATTTATAAATATAAACAAGAATAAGAACAATATTTGCGCTATTTATTTACTCATATGGATTGTCGCATTGCTATTACTACTGATATTGGTAGAAGTGGTAATGACTGTGATTATCTAACTGTTACAAGTCATTGGATAGATGAGGACTGGATAATGCAAAAGCGCATTATTGCTTATAGAATAATTAATTCACGCCACACAGGTAAGTTTATTGCTAACAAAGTTGCAGATATTTGTAGATATTTTTGCATTAGAGATAAAATAATGTCGGTTTCAATGGATAATGCTTCTAGTAACACTAATGCTATAGGCTTGCTTACAACTACACTAAATCCTGCATTTAGTAATATTTTTCATGTTAGATGTATTTGTTATATTTACTATTTAATCGTCGGTGATAGTATGAAAGTTTTAAGTGTAGAAATTGAAAAGGTTAAAATGGCTCTCAATTGGCTTTTTTATTCAAACGTAGAAGTAGACTTAGAGACTATTTTAAAAAATGTGATGAATTTGGCTTTAGAGAAAGAAAAGTTCCTAAACCTTGTCCGACTAGATGGAATTACATGTATGAAAGTTTAGCTGTTGCATACGAATATAGAAATCCAATAAGCGCAATGTATAATGCTCGTATAGGTGATGATGATGATGATGATGATGAGCATCTTACAAATCAAGATTGGACTAATGTTAAAATGCTTGTAGACTTTTTAGAACAATTTCATGTTGCTACAAATGAATTATCTAAACGATATTATCCTACTATTTCTAACTGCTTAGTTTATATTGCAGCACTTGCAGATTTATTTACTCAATTTTCAGAGGGTGGGATAATTTATCAACAAGCTATTAATTCTATGAAAGCTAAGTTTAAAAAATATTTTTCCCCTATCCCCCTATTTTTGGTGTTGTTGCAGTGTTAAATCCTACAATGAAATTAGGAGGTCCTCACTTTTGGTACTCAAAAATTTATAACGTTTTATTACTTTCAGCTGAAGAATTTGCTACACTTGGAGATGCAAAAGCCTCAGTTAAAATAAATGCTCAAACAATTTATAATGCTTATCAACTTACCTTAGATCATGCTAGACCAAATGTTCCAAATCCTACTTCGTCTAGTTCGCAATCATCTAAAAGAACTGCGGGCGTAAAAGCCTTTAGTTCTTGGACGGAGTTCAGGGGTTCTCAAGGTGATAATATTGGTGATAGTTCACAACTAATGAACTTCAAGTTTATTTGTCGCAGGGACTTGAATCAGAGAATCCCGACGGCTCCTTCGATGTTTTGGAATGGTGGAAGGACAAACAAAAACACTATCCAGTTCTTTCAAGGATGGCTCGAGATATTTTAAGTGTTCAAGCTTCAACAGTGGCATCGGAGAGCGCTTTCAGTCAAACGAGACTTCAAATAGGTGATCATAGAGCGTCTATGAGGGAGAGCTTGGAAAAATCAGTACTCTTCAGAGATTGGATCCGTTCGGAAAGAAGAAATTTTGGACTTGCAGAATCACAACCGGAGATAGACTAAGCTTATGAAGAAATGCTAGCGGAACTTGCGCAAGATGC